ATAACCACATTGCAATTGCACGATGGCGCGATAACGCAGTAGATGAAGCCACACCACAGGGGTGCGCGGCAAACAGGTGACAGAAAACTTCGGATTTTATATTATACGATATTATACATGTCCACATGAGACTACGGAATGGTAAGTGGTTAAGTACACGAAGCCAAGACCTACTGGGTTGAACGACGCTAACAAAGTACGCGATACCAAGAAGCACTTAAATTTGCGACCACCGCATCTCCCACAAACCAGCTACTCCGCCGCGTAGCGGCGGCGAACGGCTATCCTAAACTATCAATGCTAGCACGGTGTCCGTCCGTCCGTCCGTCACACGAAACGCTCAGATTTTTTAGCCTTCTCGTTGGCTGCTGAGCGAAGCGAAGGCGGCTTTGATTGGTTAAACTAGATTATGTAGCCTACATCATTAAATTCATGTGGTTCACAGAGCACATATGGAGATTTGCACAAGACTATCCATTCTCCGAAGGCGGCATCATTTTAATATTACGAAGTATATTTTACTATTTTAGTAATGCATGTTACTCTTAACATTTGAGTGCTTAATAGAAAGAGCTACTTATTCGCAAATGAAATAGTCCCTAAAGATGCTTCCAATGCTGCAAGATGCTTAACGTACACGTAGGAATGCGTGTTTCCAAGGACATACTATAAATATACGTAATAGCATGTATTTAATCGATTTTGCAAGTTACATTGGCATTTATAGCTACAACTGTTTTGTGTGTAGAAATATTAATAAATTATGTGAGAGTGAGGTAGTAGTACGTGTACAACAGAAGCTGGCCGTAAGAACAACGCTGTGCTAATAAACGTTGTCACTTGAGTTTTAAAGATAGATAGATTTAGATGAACCCTTATGTGTTACTGTTGAGAACCATTTTTTTCAAAGAGTTGTTTAGACAGCAAAATCCGATACTACATAACGGGTAGACGTGTCGCCGACAAGGGCATAGGATACGATTTTAAATGGAGCGGTAAGCCAACAATAAAACAAGAGAGGTGTTAGTTATCTTTTCGCTTCTAACCTTGCAGTCTGTCAATAAGTCTGCCGTTTCCTTTCTTGCTGCTTTTTCCTGCCTTTTCGCATGGCTACACTCGGCCTGTCTTATACAGTTTCGTCCCATTCTACCGACCGCGCCCATCTTTCTGACTTTACCTAACTATGCCAAAATTACAATTATAGCCAAAAAGCAGACACAATTAACTCGCGCCCTAATTGGACAATATTTTTCGATCTGCGACACTGACTGGATCTGTCGCACGACCAGACCGTCTCTCGCCCTCGCGATTGGACGTAAGGTAAACATTTTTGCCGAGCACGAAACGCATTGATTGGATGCAAACACTTAAGCGAGCAGTGTTGACAATTGGATATTTACGTTTAGCTTAGCAAACCTGTCTTATGTACATCAAACCTGGCACTCTAACAATAGTTTTTTGTAAAGACTGCGAATCTTTTTTTTTACTTCACCTGGCACTCTCCACAGCCACCGAGCACCGCACCATGCGCGCACGGTACATAGTCGTTTTAGTCACTTTTATTGCATGTAAAGTATGTATTTGTTTGGAAATATGATAATAATACAATTAAAGCAAAGCAAAAATAGTAATAATATAGCACATTTTAATATTTAACTTAGTAATAAATACTAGCCTTACATTACCGTGCAATTGGCTAATATTTGGATGCAAGATATTGGTTAAAACAATATAATTTGCTAACTTACTCACAGTTTGCAAAACGGTGGGCCCTACGTGCAAGCAATGCGAGGCTAAGATTGACCCGCTTCTGCTGAACCCGCAGCGGTCTACGACGGATTTCCGGGTGCGTTGCGTCTACTGCGGGAAGCTGCAGTCCGGCTACGCATTCCGTACAATTAGCGGGCAGGACATTGTGCGACGCTGTATTGCCTGCGAGAACGGTCCAAAAGCGGTTGAGTTCTGGGAGGAAAAGTCCCCACCACCTGATGCGGCCGAAGTGCGCCGCCAGGAAAGCCTGGCGAACGTCAAGAAGGCGATGGGTCCTGACTGGTACCCCAAGAAGAAAAAGAGGCGCAGCCGCCCTCGCCAGCTGACCGCCCGAAACGCCAAGTATATCGAGCAAAAGAAGCAGCAGAAGAGCAAGTAATTGGTAAATATACCCTTTTAGGCCGCCATATTACTTCCTATATTCGTATTTAGTATACCGGACTACAGTGCGAAGTTTGGAGCCGCACAAACGGTAACCTGCCTATGGCGCAGTAGGTAGTATTGGCACACCTAAATAGCGTAGCGCGTCTCAAATAATATTTAGCAGCATGGTATCTATTGTGGAAAGCCGCAAGCTGGTCGTGCCTATCTGCTTACGCGTCACACGTACATTCGCTCACTTGAACAAATGCAAGACCACGCTATCTGTATCGTCAATGTTCACAGCGTATATTCCACTAATGCGCGCTCATAAATTAAAACTACAGTATTGAGTGAGCACTTCACGCGACGAATTCGTTGCTGGCTACGTAGACACGAGCACGTGTGCGGTAATGCAGATCATACAAGTGGATGTGGCTAGTCGATGTGTCTGTACGCAGTACCGTACTTTAGTGCCCTGCTCAAATTGGTCGAGGTCAGAGCTGGGGATGATTATACGTGTACCCGCCGCGCGCGTATATATCTGCTAGCAGATACGCGGTTAAGTATCGTGTATCTCTGCGGGATCGGATGTGCTGAGTTAGTGACGCGCCTGGTCGTACATCAGAAGCGTAAGCACAGCAAGCCAGCACGACGACGCAAATGTACCGACAGAGCGACAGTGACCCTATACATAGGCTTTGGCTCTCACGAGCGCGTGGTATACACACTCATTAACGACCTTGCGATATATGCACGGACATATCAAATAGCACGCCGAGTTGATAAGTAGGCAGCAGAAGTACATCATATAATGTATATGAGCTACATTTCAGATTAAGTCTAAACATCACTACAATTTGATACTCTGCCTACAGCCATGTGACTTTGTGTGTTTGGCATACATTCAGGAGCCAGTAAATGCCAGTCGGTAAGGATCTACGCCACTCTATCGGCCCGTATCTATGCCCATACGTCAGTAAGTGTGTCAGTTATGCAAGTATGATCAATGCATGCGAAAGATAGTGGAAGTACCCTTCAGTAATATCATCAAGAGCTCAGCGGAACGATTTCAAGGCATAATATTGGTCTTTGTGGCGACCATCGACAAAAACTACCTGTCCTAAAAGATACTTTGCGCGAGCAGATGACCATACCTTACTCTAATAGATCATCGCAATCGATGATATGGTGTCGACTGCCTCACTGCAATGACGTGCAGATGATAATATGTTTGAGTAGGCGTTTTTACAACAGCTAAACTGGTTTTACTCACCACGCTATGCCAATTTCGTAGCATCATTGATACTGAACCATCTTCTGAACAGCGTATTTTACATTTGCAGCCACGCGCGCCTCCGATTCGTGTCATTTTGGGAGCAATGCGCTCAAATGAGATTATAGACAAAACCGTTCCGGGTAAGATGGTGTTCATCTTGCAGATCACGTTAAACCCTGGTCATATCTACCATAACATGTGAACACTAAGGATACTGTGTGCGGTGTTGTTTTGGAACGTAATATAAGTTGAACACTGTTTACATGTACTATATGTTGCTTTGCTGTACGTAGAAACGCTAAGCTCACCACAGCGCAGCGGAGGCGGGCAGCCCACACTACACTACACTACACCAACCAACCATGCCCTATCGTCCGCGGATTGGGCACCCAGAGCGATAGTTCTAAGCTATCAATGCTAGCACGGTGGTCGTCCCTCCCTCCCTCACACGAAACGCTCAGATTTTTGAGCCTTTTCATTGGCTGTCGAGCGGAGCGAAGGAGGCTTCGATTATTTAAAACGGAATTATGTAACTTACATGAGTAAATTCATGTGGTTCACAGAGCACATATGGAGATTTGCACAAGACTATCCATTATCCGAAGGCGGCATCGGTTTGATACTACGAAGTATTATATTTACTATTTAAATATTGCATGTTGTTTTTAATATTTGAGTGCTACTTATTCTCTAATGAAATAGTCCCTAAAGACCTACAAGGTGCTTAGCGTACACGCAGGAATGCGAGTTTTCGAGGCCATACTATTAATATACGTCATACTATATTCTTAACCCTTTCGCGAACGAAGGGGCAGAATGCCCCTATTGATTTGTCCACGGTACTATCGCTACGACTTAAATATTACAATTAAAACGCAAATATTATGTTAAGAAAATTCAAAAGGGACAGTAAGCCCCGTTTCATAGCCCTACTGTACTACCCGACTTGTTTAATGATTGGTAAAAAAAAATATTACTCCAGCAATTTCCATGAAATTGTTACTGTCGCTCGCATGCGTGTTGGCTCGGCACAACATCGATTTGCATGTTTTGTTGTGCTTATTCGCAATCATCAAGTGTTCGCCACTGAGATCAATGTATCCAGCTCAACACTGGCGCTTTTCTAGTTTTTCGCTCTGCTCTCAGAAACACTTACCGCGTTCACTGTTGCTGCGGTGAAAGTAGTCGATCGTTTGATCAAGGTACACTTAAGCATATATGAGCTTCGTCCTGACTTCGGCTTTTGTGCTTTCAGGCTAGCCAACCCACCAACGCACCGACGACGTCGCTCCAGTAGCCTTTGGCATTGCTAACTATCATTACTTGCAACGCTTGGTACCAATTTACCTCATGAGAGCAAAGCGTGTAAATGACTTGAACCAACTATGGATGCTTACATATACACTACAAAGAATGATACTTGTATCAAATTTTATACACTACTCAAATTGCTATGATAAGTTTTGTTAATCTCTTTAAGGAAAAGATACTACAACCTCCGTATTCTGATACTAGTTCACGATGTAGCGAAATGTTCTGAATTATTCCCTCATATATCCTTTGGACGTCCCTCCGAACGACTTATTCAAGCATGGCGGGCCGGCGCAAGCGAAGCTTAGAGAGCGCACCTGTAGACTCAAGCAAGCGCACGAGACCTAGGCGAGGTTCAGCGGCGTGTGGAGCAGAGGGTACCACTCGATTCGATAATTCAATGTTCTTCAAAGCCGTTTGGAAAGAGCTTCGCGAGGAAGGATGGACCTCAAAGCAACCCCCACGAAATGCGCTGGACTCGTTCTATCGCTACATTCGCCCAGGATCGGATTTAAAGGGCAAGGAGGGGAAAGATTTCTTCGTAGGAGAGGAAGCACTTCTGGCTTTTTATCTACGTGGAATTGCTTTATCGCCACCCACCCGTAAGTCGCTATGTCCTATATAAAATATTGACCCGATTGATTATGCCTAATTAAACGCTAGGTATCACCCACGCATGTCATCATTCGTACAATGAACGGCAAAGCAAAACGTCAGCCACAAATCCTGAAAATGCGGTATTCGGAGGAATTTTAGCTGAAGAAAGCACTCGTAATGAATATACGATGGATAACGAGGGATTGGACACCGCCAAACAGGTTGTAGACAGAGAAGAGTACTGTGATGGGAAATGCCAAAAGCGAGAATGAGCACCTTAGTCGTGGTATCCAAAGTGCACGCACTTATCGGACGCAAACGGACGCAACGCAATACATCCACTAAACGTGGGTGCTGACAGCACGGATAATGCTACAATGAATAGTGTAGCCGCTATGGCAAACGAGGACATCGAGGATTCGTCACTCAGGTAAGTACATGCATCAATAGAATTTTGCATCGAGTTTCATGCTGTCGTTATGCCAAGAATTTTGTTTTACAAGTTATAAATGGGAATCATCGACTGCCAACTCTCGGGGGGGGGAGGATTACATTTAGCGGCAACCAGTTGGAACACACCATGGACGAGATTAATACAAGTCCAATATCAAGAAGTGCCACTGGGGGTGCTTCCGAGTATGTCTCCAACACAACCGGCAATACTTCGACAGTACAAGGGAAGTGGCGGTTGCTTAGCTACAATCGGCACTGCCACCTCACAGCAGTTTATTTTTACACTTTTAGCTCAGGAATTTCTCGCTCTAAAAATCGCGTGCCACCACTTTCTCCTCTACCATCGCACAGACCAGCCGGAAGATCATCAGTTGCGTGTGTCCCCTCACTTTATGTGAACACGTTGGTTGCGTTCTCTCCGTCTAAGGAAAGTTGGATGAAAGACAAGGGTTACAAGAAAGTTGGCGCGGCTTATATAGTTGGACGGGTATGTTGCACTGTGAAACCTAAAACGAAGCCAGGAAAGAACCCAGAAGGAGCAGCTCGGACGTAAACAAAATGCGACACCACTTCTCTTTCAAGTACGGTGGATTGATTCTCAATTTCAATCTAATTCGGAGGATATCTCGCTCGGCCTAGTACAGAAAGGTCATGCTAATTACAGCCTTCTGATGGCGACTACAACTTCACTGCACTGGCAAGATCTCTGCGAGGCCACTGATGATGACCGGCTTGCAATTACAGACAGCCTTGAGAAGCTACAAGAAGCTCCGGTTCACTACAGCCTCAGCCAAGTGATACCAACAAGTTTGGCGGAGGTGGAGGCGATCAAAACCATGCGATTTGACCCAAAAGCGCACATGGCACAACCTGGTGATCTCTTTACATGCGCCGATAGAGCGACCGAAACCAAGATGAAGGATGAGTACCGATACAGTTTTAATCATTCGGCTTCAGCGAGCTTTTTTGAGTATCTCCCTCTTTACTTCTGTAAACAAGTTGCTTTCGAGACCAATGCATACGCAAGCGCCAATCAGATTTTCATCGGCGAACCGTTCAAGTTACAAGAATGGATTACATTTTTGGGAATACTGTTCTATATGGAAGTTACAGTAAAGGGGGAATATGCGAATTACTGGGGTCGCCAGGCGGAAGAGGAGATAATTGGAGGTACTAGTATTGCCTTGGGGCATGTGATGCCGCTCAAACGGAATAAGCTTCTTCGGTAATCGTTTTCGTTTCGAAGTGGTGTCTCAGTGGAGGACACAATGCGAGACTCTGCTGCCCGCATTCGCACATTGCTGAATGTTATGCAAGTTACTGGCGGGAAGTATGTTGATCTTAGTCGTAATATTGCTTTGGATGAAGCGAGCGTTGCCTGTAGAAGTCGATTCGGACGCCACCTTATCGTTTACAACCCACGTAAACCCGGTGGAAAGTACCACTTCAAGTTGTACATGATGTGCTGCGCAACGTCATGGGTCGCTGTGAGTTTCAGACTACACTGCGAAAGTATTCTCGAAGATCGTTGACAAGGCGTGGTAAATGTCCCCGAGTCTGAACGAAGAGCTTTCGCATGGAGCTGCAATCCGCCAGATCGTTCTTGAAGTTGTTCGACCAATCTACGATTCTAAACGGGTTGTAAATACTGACAATTATTACACGTCAGTACAGCTCCTGCAAGCTTTAAAGCTCAAAGGACTATTTGGTCGTGGTACAGTACGGGGGTCAAGCAAGCACTTTCCTAAGCACGTTATGTTGGAAAAGGGTGATTGTACAAGCGGGGAGTACCGCCAAGGGGTTTCCATTGACCACAATATGCTTGGGGCTTCATGGTGCGACGGGCGTATTGTTAGCATAGTCTCAAATGCGGATGCGTCCGAGTAAACCACTGTCCAACGTCGCGTGTCCAACGAGCATCAACAACTCGAGGCACCGGATTGTGTGAAGAACGATAACACCCACACACCCACATGCAGGGTGTTGACCGGCTAGACCAGCTCCGGGCACGCTTCTCTATTGCCGACGGCCACTCGTTTAAAAAATGGCACAAGAAGCTCGCTATGGCTTTGGTTGATGTTGCTCGATGGTACCTTATTCGCCGAATGGTGTATACCCCAGTAAATACCCGGGACCCTCACCGTTCTTTCATGCTGGAATTGTCTTCTGAATTGATTTCCGGAAAGTGGTCCAACGCACCGAGCGAAGGTAAGATTTTATACTTAAGCCGCAACATGGCTACGTCAGAATTACAGGCACCGGCTCCAATTAGTCTCGCTTACACTGTTAGCTCTCCATTCGAGAGCCCAAAGAAGACGTGCACTGCAGTTGCATCAAAACAGTTTTACGATGAAAAAAAAAACCGCAAGCGTCGCCAGTGTATTGTGTGCAGATGGGAAGAAAGATATCCCATTGAAGTCACGGACTACTGCGTCATCCATGGTGTGTGCCTTTGCAAGGCATATTTTGATTCACTACCCGCACCATACATGTGTCCCCAAGCCACGTGAACGTGTTGGGAAAAATACCATCGGTACTACGCACACAATAATTTGCTTTCGAGTAAGGGGAAGCTACGCAAGACATCTCAGCTATTCAAGCTAAAAGCAAGTTTAAATCAGGTGGGTGAAATCAGCGGTAATGATAATCGATCGGTAGTCAGACAAGTTTTCTTTAGCGGGTTGAACACGCTGCCTAAGTTGAATGCTGATTTGTATTTATGTATCCAGTCTCTCCAGTGTTCGTGCCTATGATGATTTTACAAAATGTCAAAGATAGTAGTTTAATATTCTACCACACTCAGTCAATCTCTTGCCAATCAAACGCGGTTTGCCAGATGTACATAAAGATAGATACCGAGTACCATAGATCTGTCGAGTTTCTGAGAATTACCTGCCGAAGATATCGTTCACGGTGATATGCATCGACAATTGAATCATTTCCACGATCTGCTTAAACCACTTTCGCACCGATAAGCGCTATAGTCTTAGAGTCGTCGGTGGCGTCATATACGCGTAGAATCCCTGTCATGATGACTTCTCCCTTGATACCCAACGTAGCGTGGTGGAAAAGCTAACAAAGCTAGCACCCAGATGCGAAGCTCACTCTAATCTCACTCTGCAATAACGTACATGTTTACGCTGTCAGCAGTAGCTGCCTTCATCTGCACAGTTGCAATCAACGTGTAAATAACTTAAATAAAGTAAGCAAAACTGCATGTGTCTGTTGTATGATGCATCCAAATGATTGTTTCAGTTGACCAGTGTAATTAATTTGATTAAACTATAGATTCTTTCCACTTGTATAATGTGTTGACTATCCCTTTGGTCTTACCAAACGCAGTCATGATCACCGATTTCTCCAACGAAGCCGATAAGCTCTTAGCGCAGTACGCCTGGAAATATGCGCAGCAAAACCAACGTGTCGTGTGGGCCGATCTTGCGCGAAAGATGCAACGGCGTTTGCGAGTCTCCAAGAGCCCGACGACGCTGGAAACTCGACTTCGAACACTAAAGCGCGCTCACGACAACGACGTATCTCGTTTTCCTCCATGTTTTTTTAGTGACAATGGCTCGTTCACACTCCACTTACTACGAGAAGTCTCGGACGACAAGTTACCCCGTGTTAGACTTTCAAGCTACTGTACGTCTACTTCAGTCGGTATTTGGATCGGTCCCAAAAGCTGATATTCGTCAGAGATCTGGTGTACTACCTGAAAATGCTGGCGAGATCCTACCAGAAGCTTTATTCAACGTAATAAGCCCTATTGGGCCAATCGCTGCGGAAGATGTATTTCTCGATATTGGCTGTGGAATTGAAAACGTCGTTGCTAATTTGCACTTCAAACAGCCGCCAAAAGCTGCATTGGTATCGAGATTCATCGCCAGCTCTCTCTAATAGGCAACAGCTCGTCCAGAGATACTCAATCGTGCAACCGTTGCTCAAGAAAGTTTTGCTATTACAGGGAGATGCGAGCGGGCACACAAAAAAAAACGTTTTTGCCCCTTTTTTATAAGAAAGACTTCAGCCAGGGTATGAAGTAGCCGGGCTAGTATTATAGATCCGCGATCGAGCGCACTGTGGTCTGGAAATCGAGCGTCAGTAATATTCGGGATGCGTGTCCCCAATGAATCAAGAAGGTCCCGCGTGCTCGCTCGTCTGGATACCAAAAGCCTCGCTGGATTTGTAGAACCTATAGCTACGCTCGTGGGCATACACATGCTTCTACAACCATACGTAGCTAAAGCGCGTAGCGTTGTCGCCCTTCTTCACATTCCAGTCGGTCTGCACAAATATTGGTATCGTAAGAAATATATCAGCAATATCCAGTGAAGAACTATCTCTAATAATAATTACCAATCCTAACTCCTACCTCTTACAGTTGAAGACCGAATAATAATCGATCTGGATGTCAAACTAATGCAATGTACTTACAGCGATTCATTTTAAATGGCCAACAGGTGATGTGGTCGCGCTTAAATTCTTTTAAGGTAGCAGTCTCGTCCTTCCTATCCGCACCGTGGAAGGCTTTGCATGAAAATCCAGCAAAAAGCGAACATTTTAGCATGCATCAACACGAGATCGTAACAAAATTCTCACCAAAGCGTTGCAGACAAGTGTTTCCGCATCAATACTGAACGAGCTGCCACGCGATTTGGCTGCAAGTAGCATTTCATCCAGGTCGACTTCGTCATAGCGTTAGATTTTAACCGTATAGTAGCTAAATTAGCAAAATGCGTACCACTTAGAAGCAAGAAGGCACCTCGAATACAAGAATTAGTGCTCAATATAAATATCGTACCTAAGCATAATTAAGCGCCAACACCCTTGCATACAAGTGATCGCACAGAAGGGCTGACAGAGAAACTGGTTTGGCGCCGAGGATACGGTGCTTGTATGGCACTTGGTGCTAATGGTGAGATTATTGCATATGTTCTCACACTCTCCATCTATCAAAGTGCAAAAAACCACGCCACAATATTGAGCGCCGCGTTAGTACGATATTCTCACGTCGTACAGAACAACTCATCTGCGCGTCCTAAGGACACCAAGACGCTCTCGCACTACTAAACAATTACGCCACAACACAGAGCACTGCATTAGTTCTATTAGATCCCGCCACGTCGCACAACAGTGCGTCCTAAGGACACCAAGACGCCCTCGCACTAATAAATCACAACACAGATCTCCATGGCAGTACATGATAGCATATGGGCCCGGCACATCGCACATACCAGCTCACCTGTGCGTCCTAAGGACGCCAAGACGCTCTCGTACTAATAAAACATTAAAGATCTTCATGTCAGTATAGGATACCATGTTGGCCCTCGAACATCGCACAGCACAGCCCATCTGCTTAAGCACTGGCACCAATGCTCGTTCGCGCCAGAACTTTCTCTTTTGAAGTATTTTTGAAGAGAATTTTAGTTTTAAATTGAATAAAACGAACTCATATGTGTTACTGCTGTAAACAATTGTTTTCAAAGAGTTGTTTAGACAGCAAAATCCAATACTACTTAGCTGGCGGACGTGTCGCCGACAGGGGCGTAGGGTACAATTTTAAATGGAGCGGTAAGACAACAACAAAACATGAGAGGTGCTAATTATATGATGTTACTGCTGTAAACCAGAGTTGTTTAGACAGCAAAATCCGATACTACATAACGGGTGGACGTGTCGCCGACAAGGGCGTAGGATACGATTTTAAATGGAGCGGTAAGACAACAACAAAACACGAGAGGTGTTAATTATAGCTGGTTAAGTAGACCCCATAAAGAAACGTTAATAAACTTGGAGCCTAAATGACGTTTAACCATCATGTCATTATCGCTAAACTACCAAGCAAAAGCACTACCGTTAACATCAACAACAGCAAGGCGTCTTGCGACACATTGCTTTAATCATAACTGACACAGAATCGAGTGTCTAATGACTAATTCTGAATCAGCACAAAATAAACCCTGCATGCATAGGAATATTATAATTCGACTGTTTTCTAGCTTTCATTGCAGTTTTTAGCTACTTACAAGTTTGAATAGGCAGTACAAGCGGGTAAGAAGTACAACCTGGACAGACCATTACTATCATGTGAGCTCAGAAATGGTCCGTGATATCGAGCACGACGCTAAAGTAAATGTATTGTGTAACGCTTATATAAATGTTATTTTAAGTGCTGGTGGTTTAAAAGTTATTTTAAGTGCTGGTGGTTTTGGGTGGAAGATGATGATAAAGTGATAGCCAGCAATAAAAAAGAGATTTCACCAAGAATCTTGATTCAAGGTCATTAGAAAAAATATTTCTTAAATCAGGTAAGCATGATGCTGACCCAAAAGTTATAAATTAAAAAACTCGATTTTGGCACACATATTTCTTCATAGTTATCCCGCCGAAGCGTAGCGGAGGCGGAAAGGCCAAAGTAAGTAGAGCTAAATCTAAACTACCGCCGCGTAGCGTCGGCGCTCGGCTAGTAGCTGTTTAAGTAGGCTCCATAAAGAAACGTTAATAAACTTGGAGCCTAAATGACGTTCAATAATTCTGGAATCATCGCTAAACTATCAAATAGAAGACAGTACCGTCAACAGCAACAGCAGCAAGGCCTCTTGCGACACAATATCCAAATGCTTCAATCATAACTGGCACAGATTCGAGTGCTAATTCTGAATCAGCCCAAAATGAACGGTACATTAAATATAGTACAATTTGAATATTTCTTAGCTTTCATTGAGTTTGATAGGAGAAGTGAACAATCTATAGTTACTTACAAACTGAAATAGGCAGTTTAAGCGGGTAAGCTGGATTTTGATTTTTTCGTTGGTCTGTCTAATTAAGAGACATATACCTACAGTAAAGAGATGCTGCTCTTCTCGTGTGTAAGAAATAGAACAACGGGCTACTGCTACTTTTTCCCATAGCGGGATTTCTTGATGCCCAGGCCTGCAACGAATCCCTCGCCTTCCTTTCTACCCTCGTTGGTCTGTTCCGTCCACATCTTTTTCATGCCTTCCTCGTGAAAACCCAGCTTCTCCAACTCCTCGGGCTTCATCAGGCCCCTGTAATGAAGAATACATAATGGTGAGACCATCACTCTGCAAGTACAAAAATACAAGTTGCCCACTTGTCCATGCGGCACTGCAGGTAAGCGGCCGAGAGCGTCTTGCAGTCGATGTGGCTGTTGCGGTGCTCACGCATGCAGACCAGAAACTCCTTCATAGCGGGCTTGCACTCGCCGTAGTGGTCCAGTGGGAACGATCCTTTTTCGGGCGGCCGCTTGGTGCCTGCGCAGCGTTCATCCTTTCCGACAGGTAGTAGTCGATGTAGGGGTTGGGATTAATCCATTTATCCCACCCACCCACCCACCGAGTCGATAAAAAAAACTAGTGTTCGCTTTGAAAAAAGAAGAAAAAAATGTAGTAGTAACGCTTAAAGCGAATACTGTAAAATCTTATTTTAGTTTTGTTTTAATAAAACCTGATTCGACCGCTTGCAAGCTGGACAAACCATTACTATCGTGTGAGCTAAGTTTCATAGCGGCTGGGGAACGGCCCGTGATATCGAGCACGACGCTAAAATAAACATATTGTGTAGCGTTTGTATAAATGTTATTTGAAGGGCTGGTGGTTTTGAGTGGAAGATGAAGATAAAGTGATAGCAGCAATAAAAAAAGAGATTGGATCAAGAATCTCGATTCAAATCATTAGAATATATATTTTTTTAAATCACGTAAGCATGATGCTGACCCATATTAATGAAATTAAAAAAATCGATTTAGGTACAAATGGGTTCAGCGGTTTTTTCAATAGTCATCCCGCCGAAGCGTAGCGGAGGCGGGAAGGCCATAGCAAGTAGAGCTAAACCTAAACTACCGCCGCGTAGCGGCGACGCTCGGCTAGTTTTATATGAAGGATGGCGCTGAGATAGTGGTCGGATTTCTCTGTTGTCTGCAAGCGTATCCTGGCTCTTACATGTTAATATGTTTCCAGGTGAACTTGGAAGAATAAAGCTGGGGTAAGATTAATTGTAATCCTAATAATTATTAGCCAATCATTTGCCTAGCTTGACTCAACCACTAATAAGCTACAACTTCGGGTATATGTGCTCTGTTTATTGATGTTTACCAGCGCTGCAGATATCACTCCCTCCCTACTTCAATGGACTACCATGATTCTCTTTCCTCATTTTTAATTTTACCTTTGTACTGCAAAAGAACCTGGATCCATCCGCTATCATGTCATCAATCACCAGAACCCGTGTAGCCCTCGTCGGCGCTGGAGCTGTCAACTTTGGTGGAGCTGAAGGTCCGTGGGATCATGCTTCGCGTCTCGAGAAGCTTGGCGCCATTATTGTGGCTGTTGTCGACCCTCTGACGGCGAAGGCCCAAGAAAAAGTCGACGAACGTCGTGCCAACAACGAGTATGCCCACGTGTGGGACCAAACGAAGGTGTATGCGGACCTCCAAGAAATGTTGGACAGTGTCAAGCCCACGGCCGTTTTCATCGGTGTGCCGCCCACGTACCACGGCTGCTACAAGTACCCGCTGGAGCTGCAGGTCCTACGCTCCGGTGCACACTTATTTTTGGAGAAACCGCTGTCAAATGCACCTGTGGACGAGGTGACCTAGTACGCGGCTGAGGTGGAGGCCCTCCGCAAAGAGAAGAAACTGGTCGTTTCGGTGGGCTACATGTTCCGCTACTCGCTTTTCGGTGACAAGATCAAGGAGTTGCTCAAGGGCAAGAAGCCTGTATGCCTAATGGCGCGTTACAATTGTACGTATGCTAACATCCCGAGTCCATTCTGGTGGAACTCCGAGCACTGCGGTGGACCCATTGTTGAGCAGGCGACGCATTTCGCCGACATCGCGCGGTACCTCGTGGGTGAAGTGGACATGGACACAGTGTATAGTCGCAGTGTGAAAGCCAGTCTTACTCCGGGCGACATCGGCTACTTGGAGAAGGTGCCTGTGGATGAGACTATCGTGCCACCTGTGAACCGCGTGCCGCGTGCACACGTGGCTAACTGGTTCTTCAAGAGCGGGGCACTGGGCAACCTGGTGCATGGCGCGCTACTACAAGGGGAGGCGTACGATGCGTCCGTTGAGATCATGGCGGACGGCCTGCGCATTAGTGTGGTCAAGCCGTACTCGGAGACCCCAATGCTAAAAGTTCTACAAGGCGACAGTGACGAAGAGGTGTCGTTCGAGTTCTCTGGCGATGAAATGTACCTGACGGAAGACCGTGAGTTCCTGAAGGCGGTCCACGGAATTGGTGACATCCGCTGTCAGAATTTGGACGCTGTGAACACGTATGCGTTGACGTGCAAAATCCGTGACGTGGCGCTTGCCAACTGAGCTACAACGTAGTGCACGTTAGGGATGTTTGGTTTGAATAAATTCAGAGATCTAGTGTGCTTGACAAGAATATTGGTCCAGAAGCCAAAAAGAAATGAAAAATTTGCAAGGTGCTGGAATTTCTATTCATTTAATTCTGTGCCTTGATCGCCTTCAGATCGTTCAAAAAAGTTACCACTTCCTGTGAGAAAGTAGGCAAATCTACTTGTCCACTCCACTGCAGACATTCGCCTTCCATCTTGGACGCCGCCTCCAGCTGCGGGTGTGTCAGGATCTCCTTGATGTAGCCATTTAGAAACACTTGATAGAAAGAGGCAAAATCCACAGCTGCAACTCGGTGAAGCAACTGCACGACTTCGTCCTGCAACAGATTCATCTCGCCTCGAGTCAAAATGTTCATCAACGTGGAGAGGAATCCCAAACGCAATTCGCTCTGGAACCCTGTAAAGGCAAACAGTCCCTGGGCCTTGTCAACCCGGTCCAGCAACCCCAGCACTTGTTTACAAATACGCGGAGCCAGATTGGAGCCTTCACGACTCAGAACACTTGCCAAACTCTGAAAAATAGACAAGAAATACGTGTGTGCTTGGTCCGACGCGTATCCTCGTTCACGTGCGCCGTCAGAAGTGAACTGACCCGAGTAAACGATAAAGAAGCGGTAGTGTTTCTCCAACAATTGCTCCACTAAAGCCACGAAGTAGCCCAAGATGACCGAGTCGCTTTCTGGATGAGAGAAAATCACCTAAAAAAAACATTATTAAATAAAAATAAATAACATACACACAAACTCTTCACGTACCTCTTTAAGCGGACCAAAACACAAGTCCAGGATGTTCTGTAAAAACGACGAGAAGGCCGAAGTCGGCTCTTCAACGACAATTTTCAGCAACTGCAAGAAGCCACAGAGCACCATCAAGCCAGCGTTTCCTTAATTGTATAATCTAAAATAAAAATCACCACAAAAACATAAGTTTCAATGTTAAATCACACCGTTTAAACAAAGTCACGTACACGCCTGAAAGCTGCGAGTCGTTGAAGATGTCGACAAATGTGCGCATGATCTCGGACACCGTCTCCTTGTGCATCTCCTTGCGGATGGATTTAAGCAGTTGCGCGTACAGACGCACAATTTCATTCACCACTTTGAGCGCGCTCTTGATCTGATTCTTGGACTGCGGCGTGTTGGACGTCGCCATTTTGCGGATTGTAGTGAAATACGTTGTCAGCAGCGCCATGAGTGACGGGAACGAAGCCTGGAACACAGAGAAGAAGGCGTCTTTGGCCACTTTCGGCTTGGTCTCCACGGAGCGTGCGAGACAGCGCACCAAGTAGCAGTCTCGTCTCAGTTGAGCCACCATCGCGTGCTCCAAGACGCGCTGTTCGTTTTGATGCAACGCCACAGCAGATTGGTCGATAGATTCTCGGATAGGAACCAACAAGGAGCCGTACGCATTCTCCCACGACTGGACGGTATTGGAGACGCCACTGTTGCCTCGTAGGGAGATCGCCGAGTTCAGGATCGAGTTGGACATGGACGTGTACATGTCTCCTTGGATCGCTAGCGGTAGATGCAGACTGAACTGGTGAATATGCGCTTTCAGTTGCGTCATGGACGGGATCTGCACCATGTCCTCGTACGACAATACAAAGCCCAAGTTGGCCAGAAGTTGCATCGAGTTCTGCATCACCGCAAGTGGCGACGGCACGATACTCGTGTCCAGCGTGTGGAGAAGCACTTGAAGAACACTCTCCGAGGCATTCAGCACGTCTTGACTAGCGCTACTCTTGATGACGAAGGGGATGCAGCTCAGACAGAACCTGATACTGGTGAGAGCTTCGCACTGCAACTCGACGAACGCGTCACCACGAGTGTGCAATCTGTGCTGCACCATGTACTCCGACATGTTGATGAACAAGTGCAAGATGTGCCAGCCAGCCATTTGCTGCTTCATGTCGTCGCTGATGCTGTAATAATGGGCACATACACCGGACAAGATGGCGCAGTTGACGGTCAAGTCTCGGACAACACAACGTTGTTGTTCCCATTGCTCCGACTGTTGCGCGATCACAGGCATCTCGTGGATGTGGAACAACATCGTCTTCACCGCATTCTGCACACACGGCAGCATCATTTCCAGTAGCGGAGGCGCTCACGAAGGCAGTGCTTCGATACGTCGAATCAACGCGAAACATAGTGCTTCCTTTCCGACAACTCGAGCATTGTAGCTAAAATATTCCCGCTCGCAACGTCCGTCCTAATCTGCGCCAACTCCTGGAGAAAGCCTTGGCCGTATGCGCTGCCTGTGCTCTCCAAGTCGAGCGCAGCACTATTGTCTGGATCCTCGTGATCGCCCTGCGTTCCAGCGTCGCCAATTCGTCAAATTGGCCTCGTACCGTACCCGCTCGACCAGATGCAGCATGATAGCAGCGTTCTACTGCGAGACAACTTCTCTGGGAAAAACTATGGACGAGGTATAAGTAATATATAAAAACGGCACCCCTCTTGTCCAGGTTTTATCACTCAGGTATTGTCCAGGTATACCGGCAGGTATTGTCCAGGTAGAGTTTTAACGGTTTAAATTACTCTCATTTTCTTCTTTTGATTCCTAGCCACCAGTTAGGGAGACACGTGGCAGCCCCCCCCCCCCACGCCCCGAGGATGGCACGCACGAACAAGACTGCCCAGATCAAGGCGAAGATGGCAGAGCAAGCGCGTGTGGCCGAGGAAGCTCGTCAGGCTAAACTCGCTCTCTTGCGTGCGGCGCGTACGCGCTCAGAGAGAGCACACGCCAGAGAAAGTATGGAGACATCTCGCCCTAGTCCAACTGAAGTAGCAGAGGACAGCAATGCTCAAGAGCGAGTGGAGGAGGCAACAGAAGACGTCGCAGATGAAGGAGAAGATGGCGAGGAAGGGCAGGGAGGTGTGGACACGTCGAGTGAAGCAAAGAAGACTACGGGCGATGAAGAGGACGATTCGGTGGAAGATGAAGAGGATGCAGAGGAGGAAAAGGTCGCTTCGGGCGAAGGGGAAGAGGGTGAAGTGGAAGAAGATGAAGTGGAGACGGAACCAACGAGAAAGCGTCGTCAAGGAAAGAAAAGAACCGTCTCCGATGTCGAAGAAGAAGAGCTAATTCAGGTCCCTGTATTTAAGGCGCATCATGATTCGTGGGCCTCGCTGGAGCAGTCTCTCAAGGAATACATGGAGGCGACGCGCCAAAAAATCGTGGTGAAAGAGGTGATCAATGTAGCCCGCAGGAATGCTGATCTTCGGCGCCAAGGGAGGTACCAAGGGCTTCCTGACTCAGAGTTGCCTCTCGTCCCTGCAGAGATGGAACCTTATCAGCGCAAGTTTATCTGTACGCATGGGTGGTCCGAACGTGACAGATCAACGGGAAAGCGGACGTCACACAAGCTGAGTACTACCGATTGTCCGTTTCAGATGCTGGCTCAAGCTACCAAGCGTAGTGACGGTCAATGGGGCGTTGTGATGAAGCGTGAAGTGTACGCCCATAATCATCGTGTCTCCGAAGACATTTACAGGTCTTATCCAGGTATTCGCCAGGTTCCGGCGGACTCACCTTTGATGCCAGGTATTGAGCTGCTGGTTGAATTCGAAGCCGGGACAACAAGCGTGTACAACTACATTCGAGAGAACTCAAAGCACCGAGTCTCCATGGATGATGTGCACAATCTACTTCGCCGGCTGCGTAATCAAGGTGAATGTTTGGTTTGATTACATGTCTTGTCGTCTTGTTCCCCTCTAACGTGATGCATTCGCAGGTGTGGAGTTGTCTGATCCCGATGCCGTGGCTGAGATGATTATGGACTTCAACAGAGAGTCATCGGCAAATGTTTCTTCGGTGCACGAAAGTGCACGTGGAGATACCGGTGTGCTTTCCTTCACTAGTGGGCATATGCGTGCGATGTTGGACAACTTCCCCGAGGTGATTCAAATGGACTGTACGCACAAAACCAATCAGTAAGTTGCATGGTAGTAATTGGACAGGTTTTCCCCAGGTATGACCAGATTTTGACCAGACTTTGTGTATGGTTAGGTACAACTACCAGCTTTTTACGATGGTTAGTATGGTGAGGTACCAAGGGCAAGTGAGGTACCAAGGGCTTCCTGACTCAGAGTTGCCTCTCGTCCCTGCAGAGATGGAACCTTATCAGCGCAAGTTTATCTGTACGCATGGGTGGTCCGAACGTGACAGATCAACGGGAAAGCGGACGTCACACAAGCTGAGTACTACCGATTGTCCGTTTCAGATGCTGGCTCAAGCTACCAAGCGTAGTGACGGTCAATGGGGCGTTGTGATGAAGCGTGAAGTGTACGCCCATAATCATCGTGTCTCCGAAGACATTTACAGGTCTTATCCAGGTATTCGCCAGGTTCCGGCGGACTCACTTTTGATGCCAGGTATTGAGCTGCTGGTTGAATCCGAAGCCGGGACAACAAGCGTGTACAACTACATTCGAGAGAACTCAAAGCACCGAGTCTCCATGGATGATGTGCACAATCTACTTCGCCGGCTGCGTAATCAAGGTGAATGTTTGGTTTGATTACATGTCTTGTCGTCTTGTTCCTCTAACTTGATGCATTCGCAGGTGTGGAGTTGTCTGATAACGATGCCGTGGCTGAGATGATTATGGACTTCAACAGAGAGTCATCGGCAAATGTTTCTTCGGGGCACGAAAGTGCACGTGAGGATACCGGTGTGCTTTCCTTCACTAGTGGGCATATGCGTGCAATGTTGGACAACTTCCCCGAGGTGATTCAAATGGACTGTACGCACAAAACCAATCAGTAAGTTGCATGGTAGTAATTGGACAGGTTTTCCCCAGGTATGACCAGATTTTGACCAGACTTTGTGTATGGTTAGGTACAACTACCAGCTTTTTACGATGGTTGGTATGGACCAGTTTGGCCAAGGCCAGCCTGTCCAGTATTCGTTAATCGAAACGAACGGTGACTGGCATATGGCCAAGTGCTTGGATCA